AAACAATTTTTCAAACTCACCAGACCGACGGGCGAGGACAAACGTCATTGTTTAAATTTAAAGAACTGTGAGTGTGTTTGCAAGTCGTTGTTGAGACATCTGATAAATATATGTGCTGGAAGATTGTAGATGTAGGAGAAAATATTTATCTTCCAAGTCACACAAACGTGTTTTGGTTGGCTGGAGCTGATGGCATAACTTCTCCCTTCTTTACAGTTTGGTGGGTTTACATGGATTGGAAGGAGGGTTTATATCATGGCTGCTAAACTCACCATTATTCCTGGGAATTCTGTGGCAATACCACGGGCCTTCTGTTACCTGAGACAAACCTGGGATCATATTTGGGAGGAAAATGGGAGCAGTCAATGCTGATCCCTCCACCAGTTCAGGTTACGCCCTAAACTTTTCGCTATGTAAAACCTTCTGCTTCTCTTTCAAATGTTTGTTGGTTTCTTTCCTTCACTCTCCCTTTCTTTTTCAAAGGCTACTCTGGGAAACTTATTTCAGCTTCATTTATCTCTAGTAGCATAGATTTTGGGGTTTAGCCACAATGTTTATTATTTAATGTGCTGCAGTTTGCATGTTTGACCTCCAACTTGGATTCTAAGGATGTTAAGTGTGTCAGTGAAGCAGCAACCTTAGTGGCACATGCAGACATTACTAACTCTAATTTGAAAGTCAAGCAGACCCACATGATTATGATCTGGCACAAGAAAGAGAAGCAAATAGTTTAATTACACATTCCATGTTGTGGTAGCCCACATGTATTCATTCAAATTCATAAATATTCACTTCCTGTATTTGGCTATTTAACCACTGTACAATTTGGCTATTGTTGTCTGGAGTATTCTTTTTCTATAGTTTACCTAGAAAAACAAACTTGTGTCTGTGATGGGTTACTCTGGTATTACTGATAATTATTGCATGGGCGTGTCATAATAGTGTACAGCGTGCTCTGCATTTCTACTCCATCTAACAAACCTCCTAGAAATATCTATTATTTATAAATATTTTTGAATGTTAAAACAGCGTTATTTGATAACCTGTTTTGTGACCCTTCAATCATGTTATGATTGACTACTGTCATGGTGCTCTGCATTTCTACTCCATCTAACAAACCTCCTAGAAATATCTATTATTTATAAATATTTTTGAATGTTAAAACAGCGTTATTTGATAACCTGTTTTGTGACCCTTCAATCATGTTATTCACTTATGACAAACTACAGTACATCGGCCTTTTAGGCCCACTGGTTTTCAGAGCTACTGCTGCTCCACCACCTGCACTACGTAAAAATTATGTCTCTGTGGGTGTCAATCCACTCAGGTCTCCTTCTGTACAAGGAAGGTGCTCTTTATGCAGACTTGCAGAGCAGTGTCCTTATTCCCCATTAAATCCTACTTCTGTTATATCCAAGAAATCTGTCAATTTTCATGATTAATGCATTGGTACTTTGTGCTTTATTCATTCATTTCTTCTTTTTTTTATACTCAGCTGGTGCCTCAAATCTATTTTGGAAATTCTTCAGGATGGGGTGGTTTTGGTTTGTTTGCAAAACACTGATGGCACTTTCTAATAAAGACACAAGATGGTAAGTAGCAATAGAGTGTCTCATAGGTGCTCCCTGGTTTGGACTCTTTTCTCAAATGCCACACGGAGTCCAACATTTCTTGAAAATGAAGATAGTAAGTATCTTATATAAGGAAATTATACGCTTTGATGTTCTCCTGTAATTTTTGTTTTTCTTTTCTTTACGTTAATAAATATTTGCATGTGAATAATGGGAGAAACTTTCTTCGACTTCCCATTGTTGAGCATTATCTTAAAAAACAAGGAAGTCTATCCAGACAGTAGAGAGCTTATCTTATTCCTGAGGAGACTTAGCACAATGGAAAGCTAGAATATTTTCCTGAAATTGATTTACTATGACTGTATAAGCTGCACATATAAACAACAGCTGTTAGTCAGGTGAGCTAGTAAATAGAGAATGTATATAAACGTATACAGGTGGCCATTCCATTAGTGACAAAGGTAACTCTTTAAGAACAGTTTGTCAAAGTAGAAATTATGCAATGAATAGTCCTCCAGAGACACTGCAGATATGAAGGAGCATAGCTGCCTTGGCTGCAATTAAAGACAAGACAGCTCTGCTCTCTAATATTAAACTCATAGCACAGCACTCTGTCCTGTATTGCTGCCTGGCACATTGTACATAAGGTCTATGGTTTAGTGTGAATGGATGGTTCGTGCTGCTTTCAGGTCCTCATTTTACTGATGTTGCATATTCTCTGAGTGTTTACCTGTTTATTTTCAATGGGATCTGCATTTCAGATCATTTTAGTGCAAACAAACAAACAAAAATCTAACAATAAGTAAATTGCCTAAAAAACTAAGTGAAAGTGGGGTTATACAACACAGTTCCTGTGCTGGGACTACTGCCACCTCCAGAAATTCCTCAGAGGGAAAACAGGTAGCGTTCTGGTGAAGTACTTAGAAGGCAAAACTTCTGAAACTCTTTTTCAAGTAGCTTGGCTAGAAAACACTCCCTCCTACAATGATTTTCTTGGAAAAGAGGTAACGGTGGGAAAAAAGTAAATGTCCAAATACAGAATTAACTGCAAAAATGTATAACCAGAGAAAGCTACTGCCAGTTGCAAAACTGTAGTCTTTACAGCATAATGTAGCTGAGTTTATCTCACTAGCATGTTTATAGATGCAGGTGCTTAATGGTGTATGACTTTAAAATAACAAAACAAATACTTACCAAACTGACAGCTGTGAGTCGCAGTTTTTAGGAAGGTTTCATACATTCCCTCCATCAATCTAGAAATTACAATATGAATATAAGGTTTAAAGCTGGAGAACTACTGCATAAATTTGAAAAAATATTAAATTATTAGTACTGAGATTCAGAATTCATTTTAAAAATTCTGATATAACCTTTAATATGTATAGTTAAGGGATTATATTGGTATTCATTACAAAGTGAATTCATACTCTTTTCTTTCTATTTGTTGACTGAAAATCTAGGTTCCTCTGTTGTTCAGTAGCTTTAAATTTTTGTGGTTATTGTTCTAAGAATATGGCAAATGTAATTTAGATAGTGCAGATAATTTGGTTAGTTTGGATTGTTCTTTGCATGTTCTAGGACTTGTATGCATCTTTCCTGTCAAATAAACAAATGTTCTGTTTTTAGATCCTCCTGCAGACATCTCACAGTGCATCTTATTTGCTCTGGGAGATATTCCTTGTTCTTGTCCTCCACTGTCCAAGAGACATAGAATTAGCCTTTTATTTACTTAAGATGAGAAACTTGTTCTGAATTTCATACTCACCAGCTGGTTTTAATATTTTTTCCCCCCTAAGTATTTATTTTCTGAGTAACTGTGTGTCTAAAAGCATCTTTAGATAAATATTAAAGAAATAATGTAGCTACACCATGTAGGAGGAAAAGGGAAACTCCAGAGGTAGCCTAGATCAAGATGTACCCAGATGTGCCTGACAGATGTTTCTCAGACCTGTTCTTACAAAGGTCAGTGGTAGCAATTACATAACCTCCTGAGATACCATGGCTATCTGAAAAGTCTGAGAGATCCAAAAAATATGTGAGATAGTGAGGCTACCTGAAAATCTAACCAAGAAATCTCTACCTGCAAACTAAGCCCACTATCTTCTGTCTCCTCTCTCTGACATGCATCTATTTTTTAACAAAACATACACATCTGTAGGCTTTTGTCACGCTCCTAGTAGTCATCTTTCCCAGATGAAATAAATCTGTCAACTTCCTCCTTATATCATTCAAAAAAAAAAACTTGTTTTTTTCTGTTGCTGCTTTCAAGTATGATGAAGCCTATTTTAAAGATACTATTTTATCTTGAACCAGCGTGTACTTTATAGATATTTAAGACTGTTAACTACCTGCTGTTTATTCCTGTAATATTTACTGCTGTATCTACAAAGACTGATGCACATATGTAATTTCAGAGGTAGATTTATTTCAGTGGAGTTATCAATGATAAAATTAAGCATGTACCGAATCTTAATTGGATTGCGGATTCAAAAATACAAATGTAGAAAAATAAGCAGGAGGAAAACAAAGGCAAACAACTTTGAAGCTCACTAGACTTACTTTTCCAGAAGTTTATTCATGACCAAGTTCTGGAAATGCGGATCTTCCTTTAGACTTTTCTCTGTCCTCAAGTTTCACCTGATCTTCTGATCCAGTTAAAACAAAGGCGGTCTCTTTCACATAATTTCTGAAAGTAATCAATATTTTACAGATTATCACTAATGCCTTTAGAATTACAAAGGAATAGGTATGAAGACAGCACAAACACTTTTGAAATGGTGCAAAACAAACTGACATACAGATTTGAGCTCAAATTCTCAGTGTGTGATTATAGATCTGTGCAGCCAGATTGAGGAAGAACTGTGGTGGGACACTCTGCAGTTATAGGGCACTGGTTATTTTCCACAAAAGCTGACACAAACTGCCTATGGAGTATATCCTGTCCAAAAGATAAATCATTCTGCGAAACAAATAGCATCCCTGGATATTGTAATTTACAGGAACTGTTTCTAAGGTTACTGTGTAAAACCAATGCTATTTGTATGTGGATGTGGAAATGTTTTCTATGTATGCTACAGGACGAATGGTACTAAGAGAACTTCTGACAGAAAATTTAGTATTTTCTAACATATGGGAATGAATTAACGCCCCAGAAAAAAATAGCCCTAAACCCACCTTTTTAATGAAGGAGAAAGACGAGATAATCCTTGTGTGTGAGCCCTTTGCCAAACCAGTGGGGGAAAGAGGGAAAAAACTAAACTTTGGCTGCATGCTTAATGGGCAAATTTATCTGATTTGAATTATACAAAATAATAGGTTCGCTCTATTCAAGTCTCATCCCAGACCCACCCCCCTTTTCCAGCCCTAGGGGAGGGAGCGTTAAATAATGGTCTGTGTAAACTGATGCTCATGCAGTGAGAGTTTGGAGAAGTGCTGCTTGTACAAGTCAAAGCAGGCAGCGAAGAAAGAGCAACCCAATTAAAAAAAAATTAAAAAAAATAAATAAACCAGAAAGCAGCTGCAGGAGCAAAGTGGACCTTCCTGAGATTAAAGAGAGAGAGATGTCTTTCTTCAGCAGGGTTTTGACGATGAAGTGCAAGCAGGGGCTTGAATCCGAGAGGACTTACTTTTACCAGGCGGTGTTCGCCAGCAGGTTCCACCGGCGGCCCCCGCTCTGCAGCCCCGGCTCCCTGGGGGTGCGGGACGACCCGCCGCCGCCGACGGAGGACAAAGGCGCGGGGGCGATGGTGGCAGCCCCGGGGGGGCCCGGGGAGCTGCTGGAGCCCACCCAGGGCCAGCTCGGCCGGGTGAAGAGCCTGCAAGAAATGCCGGGACCCAACACCCTCTACAACCTCTACGAGTTCTTCTGGAAGGACGGCTTCGGCCGCATCCACGAAATCCAGGTAGGGCGCAATGGGCTCCCCGGGGGTGGGTCCCCTCAGCCCTTTGCTTTTCCCTTCTCCCTCCCCTCACAAAACGCCGCTCCCTCACCGGGTCACCGGCCGGCACCGCACACAGACCCTGCCGCGCCGCCGGTAGGGAAGAGCCGGGGTTCGGAGGATCCCCCGCTCTCGGCTGGAGGCTTTTAAGGGTTTTTTTTGTCTCGGTGAGGAGCCGAGGAGCGCGGGGCCGCCCAGCCGAGCCCCGCCGGCACCCTGCTCCCGCCTCGCCCTCCTCCCCGGGGCGCCGGGCGCTCCCCGTTCTCCTCTGTGTGCCTAGTTTGAACTTCTAAGTAGGTGCCTTAGACTTTAAAAGAAAGAAAGAAAAAAAACCAAACCCATCTTTTTGAACCGGGTTGTTTCACAGACTTATTTTTGGCGGGCAGAGCAGGGAAACGCGGGCTTTCCTCGAACAGCGCAGCGCCCGCCCTGAGGTGAGGCCGCCTCAGCCCCGCTCCGGGCGCTCCCGCCGCTTCCCTGCCCTCAGCCCGGCCCGGCGCTCCCCCGTCGTGCCCAGAGACCATTTTGTCTCTCCAACTCTCAGTTTCTACCCTGGCCTCCCCTTACATAAATATACTTCGCATATATAGGTCCCCTGAGGGGGCGGTAGATGCGCCTGGCCCCGCTGCCGTCAGCGCTGGCCGGCCCACGGCTGCCGCCGCCCCCCCCCCTCCCCTCAGCGGGAGGCGGGCGGTTTGAAACCTTCCCGGGGGCGGCCTAGTCGGGGGGGGGACAAGGCCTGCCCGCCCGCCGGCCCTGCCGCCCCCTCCCCCGGCGGCCACCTCGGGCCTGGTGCGGCGGGCGGGAAGGGGAGGCGGGAAGCGGGGCCCGATGGCGGCGGGGGAGGTGGATGGTGGGGGGACGGTAAGATAAACCTCCACCCGGGGGGTGGTGGTGGAAGCGTGGGGGGGTTGAGAACCGGCCTCTGTGGTTTGGGCACCCCCGTCGCTGCGGTGGGCGCAGGCCGTGGCCTGTCCCCGGCCTCCCTCACACCCCGCCAGGGCGGGCAAAGCGCCGGTGGTCCCTGCCCGGGACAGCAGCAGGGGTTGGGTGAAGAAGGATCCATCCTCTGTACAGCCTTGGCATGGGCAGCTGTCTTACCGTAAGGCTGTCTCTATCCAGAGATGATTATTTTTTTTTAAATTTTTTTTTGGGGTTGCTTGGCCAAACATGTGGGTTTCAATTCCTAAAAAGTCAACAGTGCATCTCCTGGGGCCCCTTCACCATGTAGTCCAAGTGATTCCACAGTGAGCACTTGTGTTAGGGGGAGTAAAACCGTGGTTTTCACCCTTTTTCTGCTGTGGATCTGTAACGCTTTCCACTGGCAGTACAGATCTCTTGGGCAATACCTCAAATATGGCATTTATTATTTCGCTTTTCTTGGTGACCTTTCCCAGATCACTAGGAAGAAATTCACAGCCAGCCTTGAGAGGTTCGGTGCCTGAAAATCACTGAAGTGAGAAAAAAAAATAAATCAAGAGAGAGAAGTAGAAACAGAAAAGAGAAACCAGGACAGAACTTTAAATCGTTTGAGGATCAAAACTTAAAAGTTAGGATTTACAAAGGGCCTTAAAAACACTAGGAAGAGGCAGGAAACACTAAAAAAAAAAAAAAAATCACATGTGGCTTTCCCATATTTACCATTGAGATTTCTAAAACAAAGTGTTAGGCTTCTCAGTCTATGCTGTGTTTGATGGCAGCCAGACAAGACTGATGATGATGAATTGCTCAACTTAATTGCTTACTAACCAAGACACATGTAGATGAAGCTTTCTGATTGCTAGAGCTTTTTGTTGCACTAGATTTCTTTTTTTTCTCTGCCTCTAGGATGGTGCACGGAATTTGAGAGGCGCTTATTATAGTATCATAACACCAAAAAAATACTGCTATTGAATTCAAGCTTTCAGTGTCAAAACAGTGAAAACTATTCAAATATTTAAAGGAATAATGGACAACCTAAATAGTATATTCTTTTCACTCCCACTGGATGATAAGGAAATTTTCTTCTTTAATAAATGTTATTCATAGAGAGGAAAGTGGGAGGAAGGATAAGGAGGAGTCGTAATATGATACTAGATTTTATTCTGTTTAGAGTCTCAAAAATTACTTTACAAATCCTGAATGCCCTGCTTGCATACCTTCTGGATGCAAATAGGCATTAACTGGATTAATAACAGTCTGTTAAATTTAACAATACAGTGAACATCAGGAATGAATTAATCTGAAACCCTTTGGTAACCAGCACAGCTACTTAAACCATGTCCTTCGGCACACACAAGTATTCGTACACTATATGCAGAAGCCAAGCACTTTTTCACAAAGGAGGTTCTGTTCTCAGTAACATGATTCCAGTTAGTCCTGGCCAAAGCAGTAATGCCTACAGCAATTATGACAAAGGGAAAGTATTTTTAATTTGATGGGCTTAGATCTCTTTTGTCTCATCAGTGCTATGCAAGTATAAAGAAAAGAAAGGTGAAGGGGGGGGGTTTTGGATGCTGGCAGTTTGAATTTATGATGTGTGAAAGAATGTCTGCTGTGAGAGGGGTATGTGAGACATGAAAGTGTAATGTTTTTAAGGTTTGGAACGAGAGAAAGAAAACCTATGTTGTAATAGAAAATATGGAAGACAAATTCCAGGCATTTCTTTAAACCTGAAGTTGATATACCAAACATCATTCTGTTGAAAGCAAGAGATGTCCAAATACCTTGCCCTTGTCTGTTTCTGGTTTAAAACTAATATTTCATTTATTTGATTGGATGGCTTGACACTTGATTTATTTTCTGTTGAAGTTTATCCTCCCATGTAAACCTCACCATCAGTGGAAAAAACAAGCTGCTCCATAAATAGCAAAATTTGTTGAACCTCTTTTTCTGTGACTGGTGGCCTGTATCCCCCTCACTGCACTGCCCTTTTCCTTGCAGCACTTATCTCCTAACTCATGCTATCCTTTAAAGACTGACGCTCTCAATTCTCTCCCAAGTTCGGTTTCAATATCCCTAAAATATCTCCAGAACAAGAGATACTTTGGGTCTTGGGAGTGCTTGTTTGTACATTGGTCTGCACGTGGTGTTTGGTTAGCAGCAGACCAAGCAGAAACAATAACAGTTGAGTTCCTATTGTAGCATTTCCCTCATCAGGGTGACTAATCTGAATCCAGATGTTGATTTTTGAAAATGGTTTGAATATAATTGCAGGAGACCTTTAACTCTCTGTTAAACTTGACTGAAATTGGCCATTGTGTTCCAAAAGTAGTTGAGAGCAGACTGGCAGAGACCACAGTTGCACAACTCTTGTTTTATTTGGAAACCAGGCAGAAAGAGTTACATTTTTTATAAGCACTTGGTACCATATGCTGAAGAGTGATTCATGTGTCTTAAACTTATTGTTGGCAATTGAACAATTCATCTCTGTAGTCAAGGCTGATTAAAAAAAACGTTTCTCATAAGTTAATCTTGGGTCAACCCTAGACTTTCAGTACTGTAGTTCTATTGAATGTCTTTGATTTATAATCAACATAGCTCTGCAAGCAGATGTTTTTGGAATAGATGTAGGTAACATGTCAAAGGTAAACTTTGGTCAGCTTAATTTGTCTTGCTACTTGAACCCGAAATAAAGGCTTTAGAATGTAAAGCTTTGTTAAATCTAAAGTCCTAACAATATCTCTTTTAACAACTCCTTTGCAGTTTGGGGTTTTTTTTCCCGCTGAAGTGGTGATGTGCCTCTAGTCCAAGTGAATCTGTGGTAGTTGGGTGCTTCATTTCACGACCGTGTCAGAATGAAATCTGTTTGAAATAATCAGTAGGATTTCATGGGACAATGATAATGCAATCTTACTGGAAAAATTTCGGGGTTTTTTTTATATATATTTTGTTTTCCAATCTTCTTTCTTAATTGCCTGTTGCTTGTCTCCAGCTTGAATCATGCAGATTGTGGGTCAGCCATGAAATAAACCTCACTGCAGGAATAAGACCTTAACTTTTCCTTCCTTTTTCAGAATTGACATATGTCATTCTAAAATGCACTGCTGATGAAGCTGTCTGAAAATGCAGTTTCTCACTAGGCTGCTATGCTATCATTGTCCTTAGTTAGGTGTGAGAAACTTATAAGTAGTTTCTTGTGAAGAATAAAATGGTAGACTAAGTCTTTATTCACAGAAGACATTAAAAGTAAATTATTATATCTTTGTATTATACTGTTATTTTCACCCCATTTACCACTATGTTCTACATTTTTTTCAGAAATTCTTTCTAACCTGTTTGATCTGAAGAGATGTGTTTTTAAGTGCCCCAAGTCCTTTCATCTTCTCAGTATTTGGTTTCTCTCATGCTTTGTGCCTTAGAGCTTTGGGTCTTTGCAGTCAGGGGTCCTGAACGGTGTGACCTCTCTGTTTGCTTTCTGAATATTTCAAAGTAATGCTTAGACGCTTTCTCCTGACATTTCAAACCATTCCTTGACTGGAGGGCTGAGGGTCAAGTTCTAGATGTGATAGATTGATTCACTGTATGACAAATTCTGTCAGTTTCCTTTTGTGTTATTTTTTCCTTAGTAATGCTTTACTTCTGTTTCTCTTTGTTGGTGACATTGTAGCAAAAACACACTCAGGAATATGGAAAGATCTTCAAGTCTCACTTTGGTCCCCAGTTTGTTGTATCCATTGCAGATCGAGATATGGTTGCTCAAGTCCTCCGGGCAGAAGGCAGAGCACCACAAAGAGCTAACATGGAATCCTGGCAGGAATACAGAGACTTACGAGGGAGAGCCACGGGACTTATTTCTGCGTAAGCATTGTTACTCTTTCATTTTCTTTGTTTTCTTGTAAAAGTTCAGTGATTTTATGAAGGACTGCACAGGTCATCTGGGAATTCAGCCTTTTCTGTCTGGAGAAACCTGTATGTCTGCTGGGGTGAAGAGGGTAGGAATTTATGGTAAATTGTCTGTTCTGATGTAAATTTTCAAAGGGATGGTAATGATATGTAGTTTGAAAGTAAGCTACCTTGCATAAAAACATTCCTAGGGAATGTGTATCAGCTGGAGATGTCTGAGCTGACTTGCTTACCTGGAAGCAGTATTGCAGAACAGGGCTTTTCTAACTTGGGCACAGCACTGCGCAAATATGGTTTTATTGCTTCAGATCTAGACTGTTTCATCCAGTTGGCAGTGTGTGGTGTGGACTTGTTGGCTCAGGCTGGCTTTAGGCTTATTGTTCACCAGAGTGCCCCATCAGGAGATTAATGTAGAGAAGTCACTGTATGGTAAATTCACTGATATTTTTGTACATGGCTGATTCTAGAAGTTATGTGTTTTTAAAGCTTGCATAAGCTGGCAGTGCATGTGGGTGTGGTTCATTGCCACTGGGAACTACTCACAGTCCCCACTGACATAGGATGTTTATTTAGAGGGAAACTAGTTTCCTGAGTCATGGACTTTCTGTTTCTTTCATGGTGGCAAAAGGCATTATGTGTTGCACTGTAGACTCAAATTTTAAGCTGCAGTTCAGAGTCAAAATAATGAACGGTTCCTTCATATTTTGTGAAATGGTATCTTAAATCAAGAGATAGAAAATGTCTGTTAAAGAGATTAAATTCTTTTGCAGGCCAATAAGTTTCTGTACCTTGCAGCAGCATTGCTCCAGGTGAAAGAATTTGATGGGAAATACTTACATAGCAATTTACAATAAACACAGAAAAGATAATTGCCTGTCTTCATAAGGAACGGAAAGATAACCCTGGAACCACTGTTCTCAAATACTGCACTCATAGCAAGCATGCAGATGCTACAATTCAGTTTTTATGTCTTCATTTCAATACATAGCTCACCTGAAGGAGAATCTAGCTGTAAATTGTTTCTCTAGAGCTAGGTCTGCTCTCCTATTACTTTGTAGGTTTAGAATTAGGGTAACTGAAAGTGATGTATGAGAAATGGCATTTATGGTACTAGCTCAAATCATTGATTTGTCAGATCTGGATGAAATACCATTCGTAATCAGGCACCAATTCCAGGCAAAAACAGTTTTGTAGGCTATCCATTCAAATATTTACTTCAAGTAATTTTAATAAGCACATTTTGAAAATTTCTTATGTTAGCTACGACAATAAATACTAATACAGAGACACTTACCAAATTCAGAACACTGAGTGGACAAGTTCTGTCAGTCAAACCAGAGATTGATTTACAGATGTACATACATATTGCAATATGGAAATTTAATGAGGATGTACAATAAATACAGAATAAAAATGTAGGAGGATCATACCAAATATAGAATCATAGAATTGTAGAATCATCTAGGTTGGAAGGGACCTTTGAGATCATCAAGTCCAACCATTGACCTAACACTGCCAAAACTACCAATGAACCGTGTCCCTCAGCATCACGTCCACCCCTTTTTTAAATACCTCCAGGGGTGGTGACTCCACCACTTCCCTGGGTAACCTGCCCCAATGTTTGATAACCCTTTCTGTGAAGAAATTCTTCCTAATATCCATCCTAAACTTCCCCTGGCACAACTTCAGGCTGTTTCTTCTTGACCTAAAAAATGCTGTGGAAGATCTCATGCATTATCATCATTTTCATTCCACGGCTTGCTCTCATTTGAAATGAAAAATCATGAACAGTTTCATTGTGGAGTTCCTACCCAGCAAATGACTGTTAAGGAGAATTATGTAGAGACATTATTAATAATTTCTTCTAGGGAGGGGGAACAATGGCTAAAAATGAGAAGCGTACTGAGGCAAAAAATTCTGAAACCCAAAGATGTGGCTGTTTACTCTGAAGGAGTCAATGAAGTTATCACAGACTTAATTAAAAGAATCTACACCCTCAGAAGTCAAGAGGACGATGGGGAAACAGTGACCAACGTTAACAACCTCTTCTTCAAGTATTCTATGGAAGGTAAGCCCGGACTGTATAACATCCGTAAAGAAAATGGATGTAAAGCAGTGTGCTTATGGTCAGGTGTTTTATGGTCAGGTACTCCATTGGGATTATTCTGGAAAGGGAAGCTTGATATTCTGCATTCAGGTGTCTTCCTACTCAGTGCAGTAGGTAGAAATCCTTTGTAGAGTCCAAAGAAATGTTACCTTGTATTAAGGGACAATTCCTGTGGAAATGCTGGTATATAGGTAAAATGTACAATCAAGGCTCTGAGCAGTTTCAGTACTCCATATTTCTGATCTCTTAATTTCTCAAGAATAAGGGTGTTGACCTTCTAAGACACGTTAATTTAACAACACACTGGCCAAATTCCAGATGGGGAATCACTGTATGATATATCTAAATTCTGATCATAGGTTAACGTGGGAAAAGGCACTGCTTTCCCCTGGGTACACATACCAACTGGGGGATTGTTGAGCTTGTCACTGGCTCCTGTTAATGAGGAAACACTAAATGAAACTCCAGCCTGAACTAGTACAGCGTTTCCTGTGTTCTTATAGAAATCTAATGGTGATTCATGCATTCCTTTGACCGCATACAACCTGCTCTTGTTGTATTTAGTGCCTTTTATAAGCATTGGTACTCTTTGCTGACAGGCACCTGAGTAAATTGAGATTTGTAAGGACTTCCAAATTGCCCACCTACAAAAATGCTGTCTCAAATGGCTGGCTGGCTGTTTGGCAAACTCACCTGAGTCTGTTCTACATTTATAATGTCTAAAAATGGCATTCAACTAAGAGTAACCAATTTTATGGAATTGTAAACACTGAGCTTACAGATTCACTTTGACTGATAGGTTAGTGTAAATTCTTCAAATTCCTTTAGCTTTTAATTTAAAACTTGTGCCTGGCACACACTTATTTCCTATATGAATTGCAATTTTAATTAACTTACACTGTCAACTGCTCAGGGAAACAATGTGTAAGATTCCTTTTTAACAGACCATGTAGAGAGGAAAAGAATGCTTAAGAAGTAGCAATTGCTGAAAGAGACACAAGAGAAATAAAAAGCACAGAAAAATATCTCCCCGAGGAAGAAAATTAAGGAAAGAAGAGTGAGTTGAAAATAGCCAGATTTTAAAATTATTTTTGTTAATGAAGAAGAAATATGAAGCAAAGAACAGGTAAAAAGAAAAGTTATTTAGTATATATGTATTTGAGAATTTATGGAGAGTTTGATGGTGGGCAAAGTCCAGGTTAAACATCATATCTATTGTACGTGTTTTTAATAGGAGAAACAGAGAAAAAGGAGACTAGAGTGTTACTAAACCAGTTACTCTAATTATCTAGTTAAGAGTTATTCTAGTATTTCCTGAAAATACGTGAACAAACTATTAACTAATAAATTTAAAGCACAAAATTTATTTTAAAATATTTGATTTGATGCAAATGGCTTTGAGAAATTATCCAAATGCCTTTCTAAATTACCTAATTGCCCCACTGGATGTTAGAAAAATCATTAAATAAGATTATTTTGATAATAGGAATGCTTTTTGTACAGCGCCTTGTGATATTTACGTAAATAAACTGGGTAATATCATCTAGATTTTGCAAGTTGAGAGGAAAAAATTGCTAGAAAAATGTGTTCAGAAAGTAATTAAAACAGTTTGCTGTCAGAGAACATTTGGCTAACTCCAGTAGGGCAGTTTCTGGCTGAGTTCTGTCTAATATTTAATAATTTGAGTATGTTTATAAAACTGAGCTCAGTGATTGTGGGGACACTAATGGATGAGTAAAAATTAACTTGATAAATGGAAGAAATGATCCAGAGTAGAGAAGAAGAATAATTTAATAAATACATATATATATATCTCAAGTACTTTTCTTTGGGGAGTGTGGGTGGATGTAAATGATATTTCTAGCAGGGATCACTGCAATATCGCAGACAAAACATCTGAGGAAATTATAGCAAGTCAGGAACAAGAGACCTGTCAATATTGTCACTTGCAATGCTGTCACACACTTGCTGTCTTTCAGGGCCATGGGGACTATATTGTGAGCAGGGAAATCACTGTCTAGAGTGCAAGCTCTCCATCCATTTATGCACACTCGTTATGCATTTACTACCAGCTTATGAGGAGGAAAGGCACAGCCACTGCTAGAAACTCCTGCATTGTCACCAGTTATGGGAAATGTCTTTGGACTTGTATGTCCCTGTGTGTCCAGAGGCCAGTGCGGGGTTTGTGGTGGCAATGCAGAGCAAAGCCAACACCCTGGAGGGCTGCTCTGCTTCTGGTGGAATTCCTGGTTGTCTTCTCATGCTGAGCACTGTTGACACAGTAGCCACTGTCTCTCTACAATGTTTAAGTTGGGTGTTTTTTACTGTGTTTTAATTTTCTATTTGGCCTGCTCCCAACTGCAGTAATAACTAAATATTTTTGGAAGGTAGTTCCATTATGTTAGCATTATAATTCCTTAAATTATTGATGTGTATATATGTATGTGTATAGCAAATTCTTTGATTTCGTATGTGCAGGTGTGGCAACTATTCTGTATGAATGCCGGTTGGGCTGCCTGGAAAACAACGTCCCACAGCAGACTGTTGAATATATTGAGGCTCTGGAGTTGATGTTTAGTATGTTTAAGACCACTATGTATGCAGGTGCTATTCCCAAATGGCTTCGTCCACTTATTCCAAAACCCTGGAGAGAGTTCTGCAGATCCTGGGATGGACTCTTCAAATTTAGTAAGATTTAGTAGTAGAAAAGTTCAGCTGTATTTCTGCAGGTTCTGTGTGTGTTTGAACAGGACTTGCTGCACTTTTCTTGTAAAATTATAAGAAGACATTGTGGTAGAAGTAAGTTTCATATTAAACTCAGACTGGCCAAGGAACCATTTTTAAAAATACTCTACTGAAAAAAAAAAAGAAGTTATCAGTAAACTTTAAATATTCCCCTATTTTATACTGCTGTTTCTTTATTTGTCTTCATTTGTTTGAGTGCCCAGTCCTCACTCTGGGGCCGAGTTCTTTGCCAAGGGTTTATCTTAAGCCACTCAAGTTTTAATGAGGGTGGTTTTGTTGACTTCAGCAAGTTTTCAGTCAGTCACTCTGACAAGTAATCACCACTGAAACTGACTTGAAAGTTAAAAAATGAGATGCCAGCAATTAATTAAACTCTTTGTGAAGTTTATATATACACATACAAGCATATAAGTAGACATAGAAGTATGCTGCTGTACTATAATATGATGGGCTTTTTTGTGTGAATAAAGCATCCCAGGCTACTTTATCAATCAGCTTTCATTTAAGTAAGAAGAAGGGATTGTCTTTACAATGTATTTTTTTTAAATATTCCGGAGTGTTTCAAAAACCTTGAACTCTTTTCCCCTCTCTAATGTTAGAAAGCTGCATGCATTTTAATTTCTTTTTTTATTAGCACTATTTGTCTAAGTAGGTCTGTGTACATCTTCTTTAGAGTATATTATTTAGTTTCTTAACTATTAATATGCTTAGTATGCTTAATTTTGAATATGTATGGATCTGTACCTACAGTAGGCATTAAGGAATCCATTTAATGCTGATACAGGTGTGTTTTCTGTGAAACACAAGCTTTTTAGACTGCTACTTTTAAATTATTGTCCTTGATAAAGCAGTCCTGTTCCCTTTTTGGGGTTAAAAATAACAGCAGACTTCAGCTTTATCCTAGCAGCAGCTGCAAAACTATTCTTGAATAATTCTTTTCCTTTGAAACTTCTTATGCTGTTTCTTTGTTTAATCCCTTTGTGAAAAAGGAATTAAATGGTGAGAATCACTGTATGTGATGTTTGTTTGTGTACGTTTCATAAAGGAATATGTTGATTCAAGTTTGGTTTTTTTTGTAAACTCATTCTGCGAGGCATTAATTTTCTGAGGAGTTTTCCTCCTTTTAAAGCCCTAGTTTCACTAAAGGTGCTGTTTGTAGTCACTACAGATAAATGGGGCTGCGGGTGAAATAGTTCAAAATGTCATTCACTGGAATTTTTCAATTTTTATTACTCGATTCTCCTCGTCTTTGTCTTGTGTGTGATTTGGTTCTGTGGCTTTAACCTTCTGGTTGCTGCTACCATCCTGCAGCAGCCGCCGTGTGCTGACCGGCAGCACGCTCTGTGGGGTGCACCACTTCTTGCAGAGTCAGCAGAAGGCAAGCCAGGTGGGCACAATATCTTGACCTTGAGCTTTTTTTGCTTCCAGTCAGAAACTTTCCTTTCCTTGTTCTCAGCATTCTTATGCTGTGAGCTACCAAGGTTCCTGTCAGCTCTGTCTTTCCATACCATGAGCACCCAAGGACCTCCACCGCCACCCTACTATCTTTTCCCTGAGAAAATAGATGCAAACGTTTTGTCTTTTTATGGCTATGCAGTGTAGTGTAAGGGGAAATGTCATTATTGAATGGAACCGGCAGAAAAAGAAAAAAGGAGGCTTAATAATTTTTTTTGAATCCCAAAGGTCAAATCCATGTTGACAACAAATTGAAGGCTATTCAGTCTCAACTGGACCAAGGGGAAGAAGTGAATGGTGGGCTACTGACATACCTCCTAGTGAGTAAGGAGCTTACTTTGGAAGAAATCTATGCCAATATGACTGAGATGCTTCTGGCAGGAGTGGACACAGTAAGCTTGTTACCATTTTTCTTGTGCACGATTGTTTTTGTAAATCAGTACTAGTCACAGCTATCTTCAGGAGGGGTTGTGTTGTTTATAAGGACCTCATTTCTGATACAGTTATGTCATTACATCTTTAAAATGATAGAAAATACTTACAGCACTGTGTAATCTCTCTACTAGAATGAAGTCAGTGTTGTTCTGTTCTAGCCGTGATTTACAGGAGCCCATCATTTGAGAGTCAGTTCCACAGTTTCTTGAGTGGATAAAATAGCAATGGTCTTTACATTCAGCTTGAATTTCATACATTTTCTTTTCCTAGATTGAATATCAGGTTGGTATTTGTGCTTCTTTAGGTAGACCACAATGGAAAAGGCTGCTGAAAGTTAGTGTGAAAAAACTGATCAATAAACTCATATGTAGAATTTGGTAGAGGATTTTTACATATGGCTAATTAAATCAACTGGGACACACACTATGGATCAGATGCCTGGTTTGTGCTAAGTCCATTAGGAGGTGGGTGTTAGGCCAAGAGTAATGTAGATAAGGCATAAGTTTGCTGCCTGTGCTTATGCTGGGAACATACAGACAGTCTGAGACAAAGCTGTGGTGATGGGGCTCAGCATTAATGAGGCTGGTTATGAGGTATGTTAACACCTAGTGAAGCATTTCAAGTGGCCATCTTTCCTCATTCTGCTGATTTGTCATCTAAAGCATTTGAAGAAACATTAAGGTCATGTATGTTTCTTACTCTCCTTTGTTTCCTCCCGTGTGAAGTCAGTGTAGCTTAGTACTGACTGCAGCGTGACAATCAGAAAAATAAGAAAAGATAAAAATTAGTTATTCTATATACAATGTGTATGGAGTTATTTAGAATATCAATGGACGTTATCATTGGAAGTGAGGAATTTTTTAAAATAAATCTATATGGATTTGATAGAAAAAGTGCTATGTAAGACTTTGTTTAACAGTTTAATACAATGTTAAAATAAGTAAAAAAGTAAAGTAGCCTTAAACTAAAAAAACCGCTCTGGATAATTGAATTCAGACTTGTTTGATTTGAGTAATTTTGCAAGGTTTCTAGAGAAAACACAAAAACCCCCAACAGTAATATTTTTGAATTCCAAAATAAAGAGCATATGTAAAGCTTATTTATATGCTGAAGATTATTCCATTGGTTAAATATCCCGTGGGCTTATGAGTCTGGAAAGCTTTTTGATGTTTGGTTCTTAAGCAAAGCACAGTTATTTATCCCATTCATTTTCTAATCTTTCAGACCCTTAATTTTTCATTTTTAGTGTGTGAGAGAGTTTTCCTTAAACTAAAAGGACAGTGTTCAAGTTCATGCCAACAAGAGTTTCTCTTTCCATTTGACTCAGCTTTCTCAGCTGGCAACAATCATTTTGTGAGAGGACGGTACTTCTGATTTCCTCATTTCCAACTACAAGAGAGAAATTGAGGGAACCTTTTTTCCCCCACTGCTGTCACTTCAGATCTCATTTTATCATGGAAAATTAAAGAGGTTTAGAGGATTATAAAAGCTTTCAACAAGATTGTAAGGCAGTTTTTGTCTACAAAGCATATTGGCCGTCCCTTGAGCAGTGCTAATTTTTAAGAGGTTATGAAGGAGCTGGGAACCTGGGACGAAACAGTGTTTGTATCAGAGAAGTTCTGTGTGTAGTTGGCACAAGGGCCAACTCTGAGCTCTGAGAGTTATAGGGCAGGCTTGCATTTTAGCAGGGGACAGCCACTCAATATCACAGTAAGAAAAAAAGAAAGGTTCTAAGAATGATACTTCTAGCATTATACCCCAGTTTGAAGGCAAGATAGAAAATGTCATCATCATGGTGAATTTGCATTCTAAATTGATCTTGAATGTAAGCTCAAAACAAGACATTTCCAGAAGTTGGGTTTTTTACCCACACATTGTGTATAACCTTAAACTTTGATGTGCCAATGAGTGAGAAGCTGAAAATAAAACTGTTTTCTGCCTAGAAAGTGAAACTAGTTGTCTGTCTTTGTTACACAAGTTGAAAAAAAAATATTAAAAAAAATTCAACAAAACTAGGATAGAGGTTACAGCTTTTCTCTCAAATGCTGTACAGGAACAGAATGATGACATTGTCATCTTCTCTGCCATACTTACCCAGGAACATTGAAAATGCATTTTTCAGAGTAAACTTTCTGCCTTTAGTGGTGGTTGTAGGGAAACAGGCTCAAGTAAAGCCATTTGCTTAACCTTGATGTCTTGGGTGCAGCTGATAGAAGAAGCAAAATGTCCTGAGTCTGTCTCAGGAGTATTTAAGTGGAATAGACCCTGAAATCCAGGTATTTTAAACACAGGGACTCATGGTGAAATGAATGGTAAATATTGGATCACAAATACTCACACAAATAAAGTTTAAATGCTCTACTTAGTTCCTGTTAGTACAGATGGAGTGAGTTCATGCTCTCAGAGTGTATCCTAAAACACAAATGTACACTGAAATGCAGTTTTTTTCCAGCTGAGGTGAAATAGAATTAGATGATGGGTACCCCTAAATCATCTTGTAGTCAAACTGTCTTCTGCTTTGTGTTCTGTTTTTCCTTCAGACAAAGTATTTTAAAATTATTTTTCACACAGTACCTTTTTTCTGGAACCTTGATGATTATTAGAATCAATAACTGGAGGGGGGGTGGAGGGAAAACATTTGAACATTTTTGGGCCACTTTAAATATATAAGCTCCTCTTTAACCTTCCTTAAGAAAGCTTTCAATAGGATGCTGAATTTCAGTCAAGTGGGAACTTTCAAGAGGTGGAAAGTGCCAGTTGTGGTGTAGCGTTCCTTACGTAAAGGATAAAGTATCATCTTAACAGGGATAATATCAATTCTGCTGTGGGAATGCTATAAGGAGACCACCATATGCTTAAAAGGGGTTGCTGATGTTCTGAGTAGCATTGTCTTGTCTTGTTTCCTATGAAATGTTTTTGTTGGGAAGAAAGGTGAAACACATACTGAAAACTAACAGTTAACTTAATCCATTGCTGTTTAGAGGCTTTATGTTTCAGTATTGCTTATATACTTTTGTTTGCATTGGGTTTTTCTGTTGCTTTTTAACATTTCTGTTAAATAGCTAAGAAAATATCAGCATGGGTTGTTTTGATATGTGGGGGATGAAGGAAGGGATGGTGAAGTCTGACAACATTCCATTGAGTCCAGATGTGAATCCTTGCCAGTCTGTTTTATAATTTTAAATGTGTAAAACACATAGTTGAAAACTGTTTGTTTTTCTTGGCTTTAAATGATTTTTAATCTAATCGTGTTGGACTGGATGATGATGGCTGTGGTTTCTTCCTTAGACTTCTTTTACTTTGTCCTGGGCAACATACTTGTTGGCAAAGCACCCTGAGGTTCAACAACGTGTTTATGAGGAGATAGTCAATAAGCTGGGGAAAGACCAAGTTCCTCTTGCTCATGATGTCCCAAAGTTGCCTTTGATTAGAGCTGTGCTGAAAGAAACCTTGAGGTATAAGTGGCAGACAACTGCAATTGTTAATTAAAAAAAATAATTCTGTGTAATTCTAATGGATTTTGAGTCGATGCTAATATTTGTATTTAGTTGATGTTACAGCTTCTGCTTTTATTTAGTGTTGCAGTATTGTGTGCAAGGATGCCCAAGCAATGAAATTTGATAGTTTGTATAATGTTTAATGTTTTTAAGTATGGTAGAAGTAGTATCACACAAGTAGGACATGTCTGTTAAGGTGGGTAATTGAAAGCTTGACTTTTGCCTTTGAAATATTAGTCTGTATGATGGACTGTAACAACCTCCTCCCCCACACACTACTGCAAAGTGGTACTTTGTAGTGCCACTACAATCATCTTAAGCTTCTTGACTTAAATTGAAGGCATGTGACATGTTTTTTTTATGTGTTTATACCAAATGTTCATAGTGAGGTGAGGGAAGTAAGAGGATTTTAGAGAAGGCATCGACAAAGCTGTTTCAGCTCCCAGTAGCACTAAAACACCTCCAGCTTGACCAACTGGTTGCATGTTTGTACATGTGTAAAGCAAATAAATACATAGACCAAATAGCTCAACCTAGTTACTAGTGAATAAATTTTCTCAGGTATTAATCATATTTGTACAGATGATTCAAAGTCTTTGAGTCTCCAACATGTTCTGTACTTTTGAAAAATCTTTTTTGCTGTGAATGCATATTGCATTCATATTCCGTATTTGTGAATGCAAATTGGAATCTAAACTTTTAAGTTGTATTCGTTATTACTGTTGAACTTCTCATAAAAATTTTTCTCTAGGTTATATCCAGTATTGCCAGGAAATGGAAGAGTGACCCAAAAAGACCTTATCGTTGGAGGGTACTTGATACCTAAAGGGGTAGGTTCCATTGCAGTTCTCTGCAGAGAATGCAGTTTAATTTTTGTGTATGAAATGTGATTTGTTACGGTATCTATACACGTCATTGACTTCAAAAGTTTTCACCAAGCTAGACCATTAAAAGGAAAGTATTTCAATAATACCCATTTATATGACAAAAATTGATTTTATAATTGGCTTGTTGATGTTGGGGTTTTTTTGGATTTGGGTCCTCACCTACTAATCAAATTTACCATCATGACTTATTTTTAATATTTTGAGGGTGGAGTCTATTCATAACATCTCTGTGCAATGTTATCGTTTGATTAAAAAACATCCATTATTCTTTCAGTTTTAAAATTATTTCATTAGAAATTAAAGAATTAATTAGTCTATTAGTTCCCTTTGTAGAAAAAAAGATAATTTTTTTTAAAATTATGAATCTTTCCTTTATGCTTTTCAAAGATCACACAGAGATCATGGTAGAACTGTATGGCTCCATTTCAAATGGCAGCACTTCTGTGTTAGAACAATGTAGCTTTAAAACACTCAGGATTTTTAATTCTTAATCTACTTATTTAAATGTTATTCTACACACATACCTTCCCCACCCCCCTGTCATCCCCTGATTTATTTGGAAACACCATCACATCAAATTTTTTTTAATGAGGTGGGGTTTTTTTTCCCTTCCCATTCTATGTTTTTTCCTTTTCCTGTGTCTTGTATCTCCTCATTTTCTCTCATACTGTCTTTTTGAGACAATTTCTAATACTTGTGACTTTTGTTCCCCTCTCCTTTCCCACTGCATTTTCTCTACTATATCCAGCAATGTTTGAAACAATTTGAAGATTATTTTATTTTACCAGCTGAGATAGGGATCTGATTTTCTAGGTATCCTTTTTTTTTCTAGAATTACTCAAAGATCTGTAGTTTTTATCACCTTATATTGCAGTAATTACAAATGTTTTTTTTATTTTATTATGTGTATTGGAGTTACCTAATATAAATATCATTTATTTCCTCAGACGCAGCTGGCACTCTGTCATTATACTACATCATACAGCGAAGAAAATTTCTCAATGGCAAATGAGTTCCGACCCGAGCGCTGGCTGAGGAAAGGCAATTTGGACAGAGTAGACAATTTTGGTTCCATCCCCTTTGGTTACGGCATTCGAAGTTGTATAGGAAAACGAGTCGCCGAGCTGGAAATTCATCTTGCACTGATTCAGGTTAGATCTATGTGACAGCATTATAAGAAGGAAAATATGTTGGTATGAATGATTCTTTTCTATGTGTACCATTTCTGGATACCTTACAGCGTACAAACCCTTTGTTTTGGAGTGTTGTCTGGTGTACTCATCCTGCAAAAGTTTAAAAATTGAAAATAATCATGCTTGAAATGTAGCATACTAGTTAAACTACGCTATGGAAGAAAAATTCTTTATAGTACAAATGAAGTAAAACTAAAGGTAAGATTGTTCAGAAAATATGTGGATTTAGTACAGAAGGTTTTATAAGCAAAATGGAAGCCTATCTTAATATATATTAGAATGGTTACCTGCTCAGTTTCAGTATTTCAGTTACAAAGAATTCAGTTCCTACAAAATTGTTAGAAAGTATTTATATCCTCATTCTGATCACAGTCTTATGATAAATAACAGATTTTTATCATGTTCTCTGGTTTTCTGTCCCTTCTTTTTCTTTCTTCTAACTTTAGTATCATTTCAGATGAACATACAGTTGTATGTGTAATTACATGTATATAGTTATACAAGTAGTTAGTACATATTGCTATATATTGTTTTCCATTGCTAGATATCATAGAGAAAGCTTTCCCAACAGCTGCTGCATCTTTTGTCACTTCACTTAAAAGACACCCTTTACCTCAAATACTGAGCTCAGACTGGGCAATCAAAATGCAAAGATTTGGGAACTGTTAATAGTTTCTTAACTATAAAAACATTTAGACCCATTATATGTATTCAAATCAAGGCTTGATTGAATTTGCCTTAGAACTTCCTTAAGTAAACTCCTAGAGCAATCCCTGAACAATTAGCATGTGTTTTTCGGAACTGGGAGTGAGATAGCTCTTAGGGGGCTGGGTAAAACAAACGTACTTGCATCTTTTGGAAAAGGAGGATCAAGGAAGTAATAGAGAGCCAGCTTTTGCTCTCTGGAAAGAAACTAGAACATATTTACAAGCATCCAGATGATATTTAAGTGATTTAAAAATAGAAACACACAAAGCATGGAGCTGATCAAAGAGAAACTGTTTCAGAGCAATCTGATTTCTTTCTTTGACTTACCTAATGTGGTGGATATAGAATTAATCACGTATTCTGGCTTCAGGAAGTATTTTCACGTCATATACATTTTTCTCACAATTAAATTAATAAAATTTGTTCCAGATGGAAGTACCTATAATATACATGCACAGCTGTTTGGAAAAATGAAATAGCTGGAGGCAGTAGCTGTCAAATATTAGCTCTTGAACTGAGAAAGCGTTTAATTAAAATTCTGTAAGAATTTGTCCTGCATGTGATTTGGGTTGGTATTTTCATTAACAGTGTAAATGATGGATTAGAGAATACTTTCAGAGTATGTATAGGATACCAAGCTAACATGAATTAAGTTAAAATCAGAGGATGTGAATATACAATTATGAAAAAAATGGAGAAATGTTCCTGAATCAACACAAAATTTTTCACTACGGACAGCTGCAAGGTACTGCTCTTGAGCAGTGTGCATAAACACAAATTGCTAACCAACTGGCTGGGTAAATAGTACTGTTGGAACAGACTGGAGGGTTACAGTAAAAAAATCAGCCAACAATGATGATGCTAATTCTGACAAGGCAGAGTAATTCTTGGGTATATTAAAAGTATTAACAAGCACTTTGTATGTCAGAAAGAGGAGCTAAATTATTCAGTCTTACCAAGCACTGGTGAGTCCTCAGCTAGACAATGATAGACGACCCTGTGCACTGCATTTTAAGGACAGTATAGTCAATTTGGAGGAAATGCAGAAGACAGAGAGAATAACAAGAATGAGAGGTGAGAAAAGAGAAGAATGAGATGAAAATTTGATCCAACATCTCACACTGAAAAGGTAGTTATGTATAGTAAAATAGTGCCTTGTTCAGAGGAGAAAGACAAGAGAAGATTACTTTGTTTATAGGAAAAAGTGTTATAGATTTAATATTAGCGAAAGTTGAGGATGTTGCGGTATTTCCTTCTAAATTTTAAAAATTGCTGAGGTATTATATGTTCAGCTTAACAATGGTTGAGATAAATCTCTTGAAGTTTGTTTTAGCCCACGATTTCTGTGATTTGTTTGCGACTGATTCTCTCCATTTCATTAACTGTGTGGAAATAGGGGTTTAATGTATAGAGAACCTATATGTCAACCTAAACCTGTGTGATAGAATTATAGCGATTCTGTTCAGGGGAGGTTTTAATATTTGACTCCTTGAATTATGATTGTTTCACTTGGTGCACTGGACAGTTGCTGTCCCATGTTTGTTTTGTTTTATTCTGCCCAGGAAAAGAGATGTGTGAGATGGGATTGGGAATCTTTTATTTCTTTGTTTTCTAATTGCACATATTGATTTATATGAAAGGAAGTGAAATCAAAAACACATAGAGAAGGAAGCTCACGAGGTTTGAAAGCGACCTTAGTTTCTTTGATAGCTCAGACTGTTTAATCAAGCTATGTGGAAATTCTTCAGAAAGGACTGGCTCAATCCTCCCTCAATCAGAGGAAGATTTTTAACTATAATCTTCACCATGTAACAACCACTCTTCTTTCTTGTGTGGAAATCGTAGCGCTTAGACTCCATAGAATTTGCAACAGAAATTTTGTTTGTGACAGTCTGTTACGTTCTCTTTTCCAAAGTCTAATATTCATCTGTAATTTTGCAGCTTTTCTAATACTTGTCCTGTTTATTTTCACAGTTGCTTCAGAACTTTGAGATCAAAATTTCTCCTAAAACCGAGCCAGTTCGTGCCAAAACCCATGGACTTTTGACTCCTGGAAACTCCATCAATGTGAGATTTTCTGATAGAAAGTGAGACTCAAATGTTTTGGAAATACGTGATTTTCATGGGAACAGACTTGCATCTTATGGATGTTTAATCATGCTTGTTCTCTGGTTTGTAGGTATTTGTCAAACTGATCCAGTATTATGTTCTGCCTTAGTTCTAGCAGTACATAAGAGAAATTACCTCTCCTATAATAGATAATTACACATATGAAAATATATATTAGAAAAATTCCTTCTTGCACTGGGAATCTCCTTTTACCTGGAAAGATTTCTAGTAACAACAACACATGCATTGCAAAAAAAATAATTAAACTCAGACATGTCAGTATCATTCAGTGGGTTTGTTACACTGCTTTGTCATAAAAGTCAACTACTCAGTGAGTCTATTTGAGAGCAAGAGGGCTACTGTATAATATGTGAAAATTAGCTGCATTTATGAGTTTATGTTTTCCCATGTCTTGCCCTCCAGTGTTTTTTAAAAGTTTCCACCTAACAATGAAATGATGAGATCATTTTTCTCTTGCCTGTAAAAACATTTACTCTGCGTGTATTAAAAAATTAATACAGTAATATGAAAAGATAGAAAAAATACAATTTATGTCACTTTGTTTAGACTCAAAATACAGAACAATTAAAAATGTATCCAAACATAATCCCCATGAAATGTTTCCATATAATTTAAAGAAAATTAAAATATTAAAAATAGAAGTTTAAACATCACATTGTAGAGTAATGAACCCAGACATTGTCCTCATCACCAAAGCATAAGCTGAGTGGAATAGCACAAGCCACTTTCACTATTCTAGTTAATATTATGCCAAAACCAAGTGTAAATAATAAAAATTAAGTAGTTGATACATTTTTAGCATTTAATTAAAATACTACTATTAACTATTTTCACAGTTCTTCAACAGGAAGAACTGGAAACTTCCCATTACAACATGCTGAACCCATAGGCAGGTGCACAGTTGCCTCCTGTAGGATGGAATTGTGACTACTGAAGTATCTGGAGATTTTTTAATTATCTAGTGTCTAATACGAAAAGTGGACACCTGAAAGGGTTTTTTAAAATTATTATTTTATTTGTCCTATGACGACTAACAGAAAAGTCTCACTTGCATGATACTTTAGTCTTTGGATAACTTTAGTATCACTGCACTAACCTTACATTCTGATTTTTGAGAGAAACCTTATGCCTTGGGTCCATGTTTTGCCTTGAACAACGCACAAACCTGCATACCCTAATATGAAATTAACTATGTAATTATGTATAGTTAACTGTTTACATGTCAGGCTCTGACTGTTTGTGAGGTAGTTTACGTACTGACAATCGTGAACTTTCCAGACATAATGCAGAGTTAGAAAAACTTGTGCTACTCTGTTCTTAAAATGACAACATTTTTCTTTGCTCATCCAGCTATAAGTCAAAGACAGGTTACAAATTAAATAACACACTGTAGTTTTAATGGTGTACATTAAATTCCACATAGCTAACTACTTCAGTCACATTGTTGCAGTATTTTAGTTACTTTTTGTAGTGCCTTTTTAAGGTCTTGACAAAAGAAAAACAAAAAAATCTCCTTTGTATGGATCTCCTATATAAAATAACACTAAACAAAATTGATCTGATCTGTGAGACTAAATGTTTACATGATGACTTTAAAATGTTAATCCTGCCTGTCTTTATTGAATTGGGGATGAAAGAGCCCAAGCCTTCAATCCAAATTTGGGTTCTGTACGGTGCCTTATTTTTGCATTGTCAGTAGCATCAGTAGAAACGTCAGCCATTGCTACACGGCAGTACATTTGGTACTTTGTATCAATCCTGAAGAAACACATCACTGTAGAAGAAGAGGCAGTTAAAAATGCTCTTTGAAGCATTTGAATCTTTTCATGAAAACAGAAAGCCTGTGATTTGTTTTAATAGAGCATCTATCCATGTAAGTTGTCTTTTATACATAATAAAATATTTATACAGAATTTAGAAGTCATGGTTCTTATTTTAATTGTTATTTATAATTGTATTTTCCTTTAGTATCTTAAAGTTTTTAGCTTGTTGGATAGAACTGGAAGTTTCGCTGCTACGTGGGAAATTACTAGTTCAGCGAGAAAAGATGGGATTCATGCAAGAATTTGAGGTGTGTAATGACCTAGCTGAGGAGAGATAATATTACATTAAGAATACTGTCATTCTGGAGTTGAAAATGAAATGTGTAGAGGAAGACCCAGGTAATCACAGATGACTAGAACTTGCAAGTGTGTTAGCATAATGAAAACTACAGCCAAGAAGGTATGAGATGAAGTATCTGTGATAGAGACCAGGGAAGAGTGGGTGAGACTGTGACTTCGGTGCTGTGTACAGTGTGGTTGTGTGTTCAAGAAAAGTGGGGTTTGATTTGAACAGGTAAGGCAACTACTAAGACTATCAGGTTCATAAATTCTGTTGGTAGTAGCTATTTTAATCCCTGATCATTTAAAAAATACATTTTTTTATATATCACAGAATCACAGAATGATATGGAGTTGGAAGGGACCTCTGGAGATCATCTAGTCCAACCCCCCTGCCAAAGCAGGTCCACCTAGAGCAGGTTGCACAGGAACATGTCCCGGTGGGTTTTGAATGTCTCCAGGGACGGAGACTCCACCACCTCTCTGGGCAGCCTGTTCCAGTGCTCTGCCACCCTCAACATAAAGTTCCTTCTCATGTTTAGATGGAACTTCTTATGTTCAAGTTTGTGCCTGTTTCCTCTTGTCCTGTCACTGGGCACCACTGAAAAAAGTCTGGCTCCATCCTCTTGACACCCTCCCTTTAAGTATTTATAGGCATTGATCAGATCCCCCCTCAGTCTTCTCTTCTCCAGACAAAAAAGACCCAAGTGCCTCAGCCTTTCCTCATCAGAGAGATGCCCTAGGCCCCTCAGCATCTTTGTAGCCCTTTGCTGTATATGTATATCTATGCACAAAAAAAAGAAAAATATTTTATCCTCTGTGATTAACACACATATTCACATACTTTTTTCCTTTCAAAACATATTTACACAGAAAATAAGTGAATGTATACCCAGAGCTTACAAATATTATTTATTCATGTTCATGCTGGATTTTAAAAAAAAAATAATATCAAAACACGTAGATGTCATGTAGGTATTTAAAAAAGAATTTAGTCTGAGAGTTTCCCCTACGGTTTCTAAAGTTTCTTCAAAGAAACCTCTGAAAATAGTACGCTGATGTTGGTACCACTAGGTGGTGCTGCTTTTATAGTATTCCTTAGTAAAAGTCCGTGATTATGTATCCATGGAAAAAAAATTAATATATAGCTAAAAGCAATGGACTGACTATAGCTTTCTAAAGATACAGGGGTTTTGTTGTACTTGTTTGACAGGGACTCGTAGCCCTTGCATGTGTAAATGTACTCGGTTTGTGTTCATCTCTTGCATTCGCTTGCTTAAAATGGGAATTTACACGTAACAGGTAGTAGAATGTGTCCAAAGTGTCATGTAAACCTCTACAGAGACAATCCAGCCTTTGCAGTCCTGTCTGCCTTCCGCTGAGATTTCTATTTAACAGACTTTGTTAATCATTGATTGTTAATCAAGCTTTGACACTCCACCTGTTATCATGCAAAATTCAAAATAAAGACAGTTCCTACTCTGAAGAGATTACAGTCTAGGTGAGATAAGACTAAGGAGCACAGGAAATAATTGAGTGGGATATTTGGGGTATTTCAGGCACCACTGTAAATTTCAGTCTTGCCGTTGCAGTAAACAGCAGATCTGTTGACACAATTTAAAGGGTATTGTATACCAGTCTTGGCAGTGTTTGAAACATACTGTTTGCTGTCAAATCTTTATCTAGTTGGGAAACAGTTAAATCGAAGCATAGACTGAAGCACAGCCAACTTTGCTCAGATAAAAGGAAGGCTGGAGTCAGGGAATTTGGAAGGAAGCATCAAGGGATAAACAACTGCAAGAGAATATTTGCTGCAGTTAAGTTTCAGGATAAGATCTGCTTTTACCATTTGATTGTTTCAAAACAGTCAAATGTAGAATTGGTGTCTAAACCAGATGCTGAAATGCATGACCAGATTGCTCAGATTGCATTGTTTCTGTATTTTTGAGAGCAAAATGGAAAAATTTGGAAGTATGACTGAAATATTTTTCTTAAAGGCAAAAACTTGCATGCGCTCCCTTGTGCAGGACATGAGCTGTGAAATTGTCCAGCTTTCCTCAACTTAACCATTATTTTTTCAGGAAGCAAGTTGCTCAGGCAACTTCAAGAAACCAGTAAGCAATAGTAGCTGTTTGGGACACATTTAAAGTAGGTTAAATTTCTGTGTCTGCAAATGCAGGTAAGAATTTGCTTTCAGGTTGACATTCGTCAGCTGAACTGCAGAAAGTTTGGGGGGGCTCTTAGCCCCTGACAAATGCAAATTAATGCAGGTAACCTGCAAAAAAGAATATTAAAGCAAAGTTGTATTGTCATGAGCCAGGAGTAAGCATGTAGGCAATTACCAAACTGACCTTGACACATATTATCTTAGTGATTTATTGGAATATTAGCATTTATAGGAGATTTGTACAGTTTAAAGTGCATGCTGGGACACAAACTGGAAAAGGTATAATAATGTGAGATAAAGTGATGCCAAATGAAAGTATTTTGTATAGCACATACATTAAAAACCCCAAAACCATACAGAAGCAATTAACTGTTACAAGTGGTCTGAGAACTAGCGGCATATGGTATCTTTCCCAATAGCAAATGTTGATGTTCTTAAAATTAGGCCAACATGTGAATACCATTTTTTTGAAGTGTTTATGGGAAATGTCAAAGAGCTGTAGACAGAGAACATGACTAACATGCTAAAGGAACTGTTGATGGAGAAACACATAATACATCAGCGTTGACACATCCACAATTATAGAATCATAGAATGGTTAGAGTTGGAAGGGACCTTAAATATCATCGAGTTCCAACCCCTCTGCCCTGGGCAGGGACACCTCCTACTAGATCAGGTTGCTCAAAGCCCCATCCAGCCTGGCCTTGAACACTTCCAGGGATGAGGCAATCTAGTCTTAAAAAATCTGTTTATTTAGAGTGAAAGAAATTGTAACACAGAAAATCTAAGGTGTGCAATTAAGTAAAAAACCTATAATATACATTAAAGATGCTAATCAATGATGGAAGAAAAATCTTTGGCCTGGGTCTAAGGGAAACTGATAAGATGGGATGCTTAAGAACTTTTCTTCAAATAAGTTCTTAGGTACTATCATAAAATTTCAGCCATGTTTACATTAGCAGCTTGGTTCCTTTTAGCACTTAGTTATCAGCTGTTTGTTTTTCTAACTGAATTAGTGCTTACCTCGGTTTACAATTGCAGTTGTAGACAAAGAGAAGATTGAAAAGTGTTTAGAGGAGTCTCTTTGACTCTCAGTAGCTCAGCTTGTGAAAGTCTCTGTCTCCTTTATGCAGATAGGGTTAACCACTTGAATTTGCTTGAAGATTCCTAAATACTGCAGAGGCAGCCTCATCCCAGATGGAAAAAGGAAGCATTAACGCTAAATGATTAGAGAATCAAAAAGATATGTGGAGAATTAGTTACACATATCCAGAAGAGCATGGTTAAAAATCTTCATCTAAGATACCACTGAAAAGGTAATCAATATTTCACTAACACATTTATAGATGCTTCTTTTTTGTTACTGTCACAAATTTATAGATAATAAATGCATAATAACCGTGATAACTCTATCAAACACCAGTTGTTTTCAGATGAAGTTGAGCGAAATAACATATAATTCTTTTCAAACAGAATGTAAGCACCGAATTCATCCAAGAAATAATCATTTACTAGTTGCTAGTCAGCTTAGTTTTGCAATATAAATAGGTATCAGCTCCAGAAAGCGTAGGCAGACATTTGTCTCACTTCTACATTGTACTTTGAAGATGGTTACAAAAAATCCCAACTGTTGCAGATCCCGAGACATGGGTCTCAGCTGGTGAAGCGTTCTAATTCCTAGCAGGTTGCAGTAGATCCATCACCTTCTCACCAGCTAAACCTCCAGGGAATGGCCACGTTTGTCCGTTCCCCGGCTCTGTGAGATTAAATTGAAACAGGAAAGGTGTGATTCAGATGTGCTGCTCCACCAAAGCAAATGTCTCTGATGTTTGTACATTTGCAAGACTGTAGACTTTAGGCCCACAGTGAACAGTTTCAGTCTGTTGAATTCCGCTTTCTGCATCTTCTGTTGCTGGATCATCTTGATTGACAAGGCATTATTGGCAAATGTATAGTAGACATTAATGTTTTAATCTGCCGTGACACTGGGCCACATTGGAATGCAAGAGTCGTACTTGTAATTACTGCAATTATGTTGATGTATAATTTGGTATTATGCACACATAATTATTTTTTGATGTTAGCATCTCACCACCTAATATTACGGGAGAGAGCAAATGAAATTTATGTGATTATTTGGCTAGAAAAAAAATACAAATAGCACACTATCCTCATTCTACTGGCAGAGAAAATAGTGGTCTGTTAATGAGTTTCTGTCATGAGAAGCAGCTCAGGTATAATTAAATTACAGAAAAATGTGTGGTGGGGAATAATCTTGTTTCCCAGATGATGGGTTAGGTCAGGGTGCTAAGGTTTTTCCACTGTATTAGCTATATCTCAGTGGGGAAAATTTTTCCTAGGCCACTTTGCTTCACTGTATGCACTTGAAGTACTACTCATAAGTATTAGAAAAACATTTGGAGAAAAGATTTTGTTGGGTTTTAGGTGTCTTTGAGATAATGCAACAAGTTGAACCACCCTCCAATTCTTTATTCGTTATCAACACATATTTGGCATCTAAAGTTTGGAAGTCTTGACATTTTGGAAGTTGGACAATTTGAGTGGCAGAGTGATGTTTAGCTTCGGGACCAGGGAACAATGAGAATCTGTTATTTATTTCTCAGGGATTTG